CTTGACTCTAAATATCTCCTTCAGCAATTTTAACCAAACAGTTTACTACATTTACATGGCACTTCACAGTTTACAAAGTCCTTTCCCTAGAGTCATCTTATTTCGTCTTCATAAAGGTGTAAGTGGTTGATAGAAGTTTTGTTTTTAATAAAGGATGAAACAGGCTCAGAGAGGTTTTGTGAGTTACTGAAGGCCACACAGTAAGCGGTAGATGTAGATCATTTTCTTCTAATTCCAGTGTCCTTTTCACAATATCAAACTGACAATAGACATGGTAATAAATAACACATTTGGAGATAGCTATAACTTAATTAGGGTAAAAGTTTTCAAGGTACATTTAGAGATAAAGCTCAAAATGTAAATGAATAAAAAATCAGCTTTTACATATTGAAAATATTAAACTAATTCCAGGGCTATAGATTTGATTTAAGGCAAGGTGATTTGTCATTCGTTGATGCTTTCCCACTCTCGGGGGAAGATTTGCATTTTAAGTTTTAAGTCAAAATGTATAACGAAAAAACAAATTTATGCTATTTAAAAGAGTTATGAAGACAAGCCTGGTTATCTGCTTTCATTAAGATTATAGTCAGAAAACCCTATGGAGCAATTCTACTCCATGACACAGAAGATCATCATGAGTCAGAATCAACTCGACAGCAATAGAATTGAGTTTTTGTTTTTAGGTACTAGAGAAGTTCTGTAGTGAAAATAATTCTCATAAACATGTACATCTGTATATGTGTATACATCTATCTAGACTAAATATTGCTTTGGATGCTTCTGCCATTTCTTAGTAACCTATTTTCCACGCTGAGTTCACAGCTGTTTTATTCTCAGCGTGTACTCCAAGTCTCTATATTACATTGTGATTATCTTACACCTCATTCCTCAGTCACTGTAAGCATTAAGACTGTTTAACCAGTAAAGCTCTTTAATGAGTAAAAATTACAGAACTTTTGAAATGTTCCAGGAATAGTTCAATTTTCCCATTTAGTGTCTGAACCTCATATTTACCACATGCAGCATGAAGTCTGCTTTTATTTAAAAGGAAAATTCTGTATTTACCATTCACTGCAAACAGTACAGAAGGAATAAACAGACTATTCCCTTTGCTTTATGAAAATGTGTGACATTTCCCTTGAGCAGCTAAGAAATTCCTGGGTTCGGGATCCTCTCCACTTATAAATCTGAGCCTATCTTTTCTTGTGCTGTGGTTTTTACTCTAGGATTTTGGTACATTTCATGAAAAGGAAAATACACAAAGTGGAAATAGAGTAGAAGTAGAAGACTTCAAGGACAATAGCCCATCATGTGTGAGTTGGTGACACAAATAATGAGGGTTCCTTCCAGTGGGCTTCAATGACTAAGGGTAGGAAAGATAAAAAAGTGCAAGAAGTCGCAGGAAATGCTTTTCCACAATGAGAAAGACAACGTGAGTATAATGATGAAGAAGCAAAGTGTACTGGTCTCAATTACTGAGCTGATGCTCAACATTGCATATATCTCTCACTTGGATTTTAAACATTTGCTTCAAAAATGATTTCATATCAATTTTTATTTGTTTTGGAAAGCTCCCATGTGTAATTTATTAATCACATCACTGAAAAACAGATTTAATGGTGTCGCTTGGCTGCTACTACAGATGATGTAG